AAGGAACTTTTTTTTTTTTTAATGATATGAGATTTCATTTATTCCCATTTGGATATTCATTTGACTTCTTACTTTTTAATGGAAAAGACCACTCTTTACCTACTACTCTGTATTTCCACTTTTATCATAAATTAATTTTCTGTATATTCATGTATGTACTTATGAGTTCTATTGGTCTATTTGTATATCCAGTGTCAGTCTGATTCTATCTTAATCACTATAATTTTATCATGTTCTGATAACCTGTAGGGGAAGCCTTCTCACCTTGTTCTTCACCCTTGTATTTCTATACAAGTTTAAGAATCAGCTTCTAACATTACATAAAAATTCTGTTTGGAATTTTATCAGAGTTGCATTGGCTCTATATGTCAATTTTTACATTTTCACAATGTGGCTTTCTTTAAATCCTTGAAAATGGGTATAAACTTTAAAAACTTATTTCTTAACATGCTATTTATGTTTATTGATATAGAGACTATAAAAAACTTTAATGTCTTTTTTACATTGATGTTGTTCAGTTGCTAAGTTGCCACTGACTCTTTGCAACCCCATGGACTGCAGCATGCCAGGCTTCCCTGTCCTTCACTATTTCTCCGAGTTTTCTCAAACTCCTATCCATTGAAGTGGTGATGCCACCCAACCATATCACCCTCTGTTGTCCCATTTTCTGCCTGCTCTCAATCATTCCAGTATCAGGGTCTTTTCCAGTGAATCAGCATTCACATTAGGGGGCCAAAGTATTGGAGCTTCAGCTTCAGCATCAGTCCTTCCAATGAAAATCCAGGGTTGCTTTCCTTTAGGATTGACTGGGCTTGATCTCCTTTCAGTCTTAAGGACCCTCAAGAGTCTTCTCCAGCACCACAGTTCAAAAGCATCAATTCTTCAGCACACAGTCTTCTTTATGTTCCAACTCTCACATCCCTATATGATTATTGGAAAAATCATAGCTTTGACTGTGTGTAGCCATTTGTCAGCAAAGTGATGTCTCTTCTTTTTAATATGCTGTATAGGTTTTTCACAGCTTTCCTTCTAAGGAGCAAGCATCTTTTAATTTCATGGCTGCAGTCACCATCCACAGTGACTTTGGAGCCCCTCAAAATAAAATCCATCACTGCTTAATCTTTTTCCCCACCTATTTGCCATGAAGTGATGGAACCGGATGCCAAGATGGTAGTTTTTTGAATGTTGAGTTTTAAGCCAGTTTTTTCACTCCCCTCTTTCACCTTCCTCAGGAGGCTTTAGTTCCTCTGCTTTCAGCCTTTAGAGTGGTATCATCTGCATATCTGAAGCTGTTGGTGTTTCTCCCAGCGATCTTGGTTCCAGCTTGTGATGCATCCAGCCTGGCGTTTTGCATGATGTCAGTCAGTTCATTCGGTTAGTCATGTCCAACTCTGCAACCCCCTGAACTGCGGCACACCAAGCTTCTCTATCACCAACACTTGGAGCTTGCTCAGACTCATGTCCATGGGGTTGGTGATGCCATCCAACCAACTTGTCCTCTGTTGTCCCCTTCTCCTCCCGCCTGCATCAGGGTCTTTTCCAATGAGACAGTTCTTCCCATCAGGTGGCCAAAGTATTGGAGCTTCAGCATAAATCCTTCCAATGAATATTCACGGTTGATCTCCTTTAGGATGGACTGGTTGGATCTCCCTGCCGTCCAAGGGACTCTCATGAATCTTTTCCAACACCACAGTTCAAAAGCATCAATTCTTTGGTGCTTAGCTTTCTTTATGGTCCAACTCTCACATCCATACATGACTACTGGAAAAACTGTAGCTTTGACTAAACAAACCTTTGTTGGCAAAGTAATGTCTCTGCTTTTTAATATGCAGTCTGGGTTTGTCATAGCTTTTCTTCCAAGGAGCAATTGTCTTTTAATTTCATGGCAGCAGTCACCATCTGTAGTGATTTTGGAGCCCCCAAAAATAAAGCCTGCCATTGTTTCCCCATCTATTTGCCATGAAGTGATGAGATCAGATGCCATGATCTTAGTCTTTGAATGCTGAGTTTTTAAGCCAAGTTTTTCACTCTCCTCTTTCACCCTCATCAGAAGCTCTTTAGTTCCTCTTCACTTTCTGCCATAAGGGTGGTGTCATCTGCATATCTGAGGTTATTGATACTTCTCCTGGCAATCTTGATCCCAGCTTGTGCTTCATTGAGCCTGGCATTTTGCATGATGTACTCTGTATAAGTTATATAATCAGAGTGACATTCTATAGCCTGGATTTACTGCTTTCCCAAACTTGAACCAATCCATTGTTCCATATTCGGTTCTAACTGTTTCTTCTTGACCTGCATACAGGTTTCTCAGGAGGCAGGTAAGGTGGTCCAGTATTCCCACCCCTGTAAGAACTTTCCAGTTTGTTGTGATCCACACAGTCAAAGGCTTTGGTGTAGTCAGTGAAGCAGAAGTAGATGTTTTTCTAGAATTCCTTTGCTTTTTCTACTATCCTTTGAATGATGGCAATTTGATCTCTGATTTCTCTTCCTTTTCTAAATCCAGCTTGTACATCTGGAAGTTCTCTGCTCACATACTGTTAAAGCCTGGCTTGAAGGATTTTGAGCATTACCTTGAGAGCATGTAACATGAGCATTATTGTGTGGTAGTTTGAACATTCTTTGGCATTGGGTGCCTTTGGAATTAGAATGAAAACTGACCTTTTTCAGTCCTGTGGCCACTGCTGAGTTTCCCAACTTTGCTGGCATATTGCATGCAGAACTTAACTGCATCATCTTTTAGAATTTGAAATAGCTCAGCTGTAATTCTACCACCTCCACTAGCTTTGTTCATAGTAATTCTTCCTAAGACCCACTTGACTTCACATTCCAGGGTGTCTGACTCTCAGTGAGTGAGTCAGACCACCATTGTGGTTTTCCAGGTCATTAAGACCTTTTTTTACATAGTTCTTCTGTGTATTCTTGCCAACTTTTCTCAGTCTCTTCTCTTCTCTTAGGCCCTTGCCATTTATGTCCTTTATTGTGCCCATCTTTGCATGAAATATTCCTTTGGTATCTCCAATTTTCTTGAAGAGAACTTTAGTCTTTCCCATTCTGTTGTTTTCCTTTATTTCTCTACATTGTTAACTTAAGAAGGCTATCTTATCTTTCCTTGCTATTCTCTGCAATGCTGCATTCAGTTACACATTTTTTTTTCTCCTCTCTTTTCATTTTTCTTCTTTTCTCAGCTATTTTAAAGGCCTCTTCAGACAACCACTTTGCCTTCTTGAATTTCTTCTTCTTTGGGATAGTTTTGATCACCACCTCATGTACAATGTTATGAACCTCCTTCCATATTTCTTCAGGCACTCTATCTACTAGACCTAATCCCTTGAATGTATTTGTCACTTCCACTATATAATCTTAAGGGATTTTATTTAGGTCATACCTGAATGGCCTAATGTTTTTCCATACTTTCTTCAAGTTAAGCCTGAATTTTGCAGTAAGGAGCCCATGATTTGAGCCCCATTCATCTCAAGGCCTTGTTTCTGATGACTGTATAAATCTTCTCCATATTTGCGTGCAAAGAATATAATCAATATGATTTCAGTTTTGACCATCTCATGATGTCTATATGTAGAGTCATCTCATGTGTTTTTGGAAGAGTGCATTTGCAATGACCGGTGTGTTATCTCAGAGAACTCTGTTAGCCTTTGCCCTGCTTCATTCCGTACTCCAAGGCCAAACTTGCCTGTTACCCCAGGTATCTCTTTACTTCTTACTTTGTATTCCAGTCCCCTGTGAGGGAAAGGCCATCTTTTTTTCTTGTTAGTTCTAGAAAGTCTTGTTCGTCTTAATAGAACTGTTTAACTTCAGCTTCTTCGGCATTGTTGGTTGGACATAGACTTGGATTACTGTGAGGTTGAAAAGTTTGTCTTGGAAACTAACTGAGATCATTCTGTCCTTTCTGAGATTGCACCCTCTTTTGTTGCCTGTGAGAGCTACTCCCTTTCTTCCAAGGGATTCTTGCCCACAATTAGATATAATGATTATCTGAATTAAATTAACTGATTACTGTCCTTTTTTTTTTCACTGATTTCCTAAAATGTTGATGTTCACTCTTGCCATCTCTTCCTTGACATCATCTGATTTACCTTGATTCATGGACCTAACATTCCAGGTTCCTATGCAATATTGTTGTTTATAGCATCAGACTTATTTTCATCACTAGACACATCCACAACTGAGAGTCATTTCCACTGTGGCCCAGCTTCTTCATTCTTTCTGGAGCCATTTCTCCAGTCTTCTTCAGTAGCATATTGGGCACCTACCAACTTGTGGGGATCATCTTCCAGTATCATTTCTTTTTGCCTTTTCATACTGTTCATGGGGTTTTCAAGGCAATGAAACTGGAGTGTTTTGCCATTCCCTTCTTCAGGGGACCATGTTTTGTCAGAACTCCCCACCATGACCCATCCGTCTTGGATGGCCATGCACAGCATAGCTCACAGCTTCATTGTACCCAAGGCTGTGATCCATGTGATCATTTTGGTTAGCAGTGATTGTGGTTTTTAATCCCTATAAGTTACTTATATGTGTGTGATTGTGTATGAGTGGTTTTGTGAGAGTGTATTTCCAAATTTCATACAGATTCATTTGTGAATGAGAAATATAATTGAAAATGTTGTTTTATTCTACAACTTAAGGTTAGTTTCTGAAATATCATACTTCCCACAGAAATAAGTGTCATTTCTCTTCACCTTTTTTCTTTAAATCACTAGATTTCAAAACACAATAGAAAATTCTCCTGTCCCAGTTTACATTAATATACAGTTATTGTAATGATTAAACATCATTCAAAGTATCATATACAGTTTATAATATGTAATAATTTTGTGTACCCCAGATATTCATGAGGACATCTGTGATGGCAGTATTTGAGTAATAATGTTCTAAATTTTATAATACTATGACAGGATTATGGTATTTATGGTAATGATAGGAGGATAGGAATAATCATTAGACATTTTGCATTTGTATGATGCTTGTTTTTCTCTGTACAGTTCGAGGCTTTCCTTCAGAAGAAGATTTTGAAAAGTATATTAAATATGAAAATCAATCTGTTCTTGTGCTGGCTGCTATCATATTTGATCATGACTTCAAAAACAGTAATGACAGATTGCCACTTAAGGTGGGAAAGTTTTATCTAAAGACTATATTTCAAAGCTTCAAGGGTTTAATGAAATGAAGGTAACATCGTGATTCTATAAATGGCAAAAGTTATAACTTGCTCAAGATAATAACTGCTATATATAAGAGCAGGAATTTGAATCTATTAATAGTTCCAACTTATTTTAATACCTATGCTTTTAGTCATTACATTATGCTGATGAGAATAAAACTGTACCTTAAGGTCTTGTGGCTTCCCTAGTACCTCAATTGGTAAAGAATCTGCCTGCAATGCAGGAGACCCCTGTTTATTTGATCCCTGGGTCTGGAAGATCCACTGGAGAAGGGATAGGTACCCACTCCACTATTCTTGGGTTTCCCTGGTGGCTCAGCTGGTAAAGAATCTGCCTGCAATGCGGGAGACCTGGGTTCTATCCCTGGGTTGGGAAGATCCCCTGGAGGAGGTCATGGCAGCCCACTCCAGTATTCTGGCCTGGAGAATTCCATGGACTGTATAGTCCATGGGGTCGCAAAGAGTCGGACACGACTGAGCGACTCTCACCCACTCTTAAGTTCTTGTATTCAGAAAAATGAAGTAATAGGAACTTTAGTAAGGATATTTATTTTGCCAATCTACCTGGCAAGGTAGGTGTTTCTAGTCCTGCAAATTGTGGTGAAGAAAATAATAATATAGATACATTAAAAAGATGGGCAGCAATATCTGTGACCTGTTTATATATATCTGGAATTTCAGATAGTACATACCTATATATAATATTTAAACTTTTTAGTGTGTTGATTTTAAGTGTAATTCCCATTCTGACTTTGCATGTGAAGTCAAGTTTATAATAAAGCTGTTACTATGTGAACATCAAATAAATGCAAAAGCAGCCCAACACATGTCTGGAAATTTTTTGGCTGTGGCAGCTTTAATTACTGGGATTGTGAGCTTTAGAAGGAGTTTCTCTGCCTTCTTGTTAGGACAATTGCCTGCTAAATACCTCTCTTTTTTTTGCACTTGGTGTCATGCTTTAATATATTGTTGCTACATATCCAAAGAGGCAATTGCTTTAACTTTGAGAATTCTTGATTCTCTCTCTGGTGGCCATGGAAGCTTCCGTAATGCCACTAATAGCTAATTTGCATGTCCTTTAAATATTTTAAGTTTGATTTTTAAAATAAAGGCAGATACATATACACTACCAAGGGCTTTCCACTGGCTCAGCGGTGAAGAGTCTGCCTGCAATGCAGTAGTCACAGGAGTTGCAGGTTCCATCCCTGGGTGGGGAAGATCCCCTCCAGGAGGACATGGCAACCCACTCCAGTATTCTTACCTGGAGAATTCCATGGACAGAGGAGTCTGGTGGACTACAGTTCATTGGGCCACAAAGAGCCAGACACAACTGAAGCTACTTAGGATGCATGCATCCACTGGCAGAGATTCCAACAGGAAAGACTTCTTTCTTTTGAACAAATTACTTAATTTCTCTTCTAAGTCTCTAGTAACGTTCTTAGGATTTAGCCAGGTTGCATCAGAATTAGGACACCTGCAGCCACTGAAGAAGACTCTCATAACACTGCTCAAGGTGGAGTGTTTTGAACCTGGTAACTTGGTGTGTCTCTTTACCAGAGAGAGACGTTCTACGAAGGGTTGAGGCAAATGATCAAACTATAGTATCTATGCATAGAGCCAGATCCAGCATGTAAGAGGCAAGTATTTGCTAGAAGAAGGGAAGAAACTCACTTTATTCTTTTCATATATGTCTACTTTATGCTAATTACTGCCTCAAAAAAAAATGCTTGTGCTTATATAACTTCATTGATATATGTGGCCCAAATATCAAGTAACTTTGGTACAGTTGCAAGCTTCATTTTTGTTGTTGATTCTCTGTGTCTAGCATTTGAAATGTATTCCTGACAATTTTTCCCCCAGGTTATTTTCCCAGATACCTGTTCTCTTTTTCTACACTTTACCAAACAAAATTTCTTATCTCTGACTTCTGACTTCACGGGTATGTAGACCTACTATACTCTCCTTCTGTCCTCAACCTGTGGCTCTTATGTAGCTGAACTTTATGTGTTAGCTGAATTTCCCAGGCAAGACTTAATCTATCCACATGGATACCACAACAATTCATTAAGAACACAGAAAAGATGAGGTTGCTCTGCTATGTTAAAGACATCGGGGTGCTCCACTGACTAGAGAAGTTTCTTTGCACAGGATATAAAGCCATCAGTGACCTGTTTCTGAATACCCTTCCAGCCCCCCCGACCTTTTTATTTCAAATGTATATGCTGTTAAATTTTATTATTCTTTTCATTTATTTTTATTAGTTGGAGGCTAATTACTTTATAATATTGTAGTGGTTTTTGCCATACACTGGCATGAATAAGCCATGGATTTACATGTGTTCCCCATCCTGAACCCCCCTCCCACCTCCCTCCCCATCCCATCCCTCTGGGTCTTCCCAGTGCACCAGCCCTGAGCACTTGTCTCATGCATCCAACCTGGACTGGTGATCTGTTTCACACTTGATAATATACATGTTTCGATGCTGTTCTCTCAGATCATCCCACCCTCGCCTTCTCCCATAGAGTCCAAAAGTCTGTTCTATACATCTGTGTCTCTTTTTCTGTCTTGCATATAGGGTTATCGTTACCATCTTTCTAAATTCCATATATATGCGTTAGTATACTGTATTGGTGTTTATCTTTCTGGCTTACTTCACTCTGTATAATGGGCTCCAGTTTCATCCATCTCATTAGAACTGATTCAAATGAATTCTTTTTAATGGCTGAGTAATATTCCATGGTGTATATGTACCACAGCTTCCTTATCCATTCGTCTGCTGATGGGCATCTAGGTTGCTTCCATGTCCTGGCTATTATAAACAGTGCTGCGATGAACATTGGGGTGCACGTGTCTCTTTCAGATCTGGTTTCCTCGGTGTGTATGCCCAGAAGTGGGATTGCTGGGTCATATGGCAGTTCTATTTCCAGCTTTTTAAGAAATCTCCACACTGTTTTCCATAGTGGCTGTACTAATTTGCATTCCCACCAACAGTGTAAGAGGGTTCCCTTTTCTCCACACCCTCTCCAGCATTTATTGCTTGTAGACTTTTGGATAGCAGCCATCCTGACTGGCGTATAATGGTACCTCATTGTGGTTTTGATTTGCATTTCTCTGATAATGAGTGATGTTGAGCATCTTTTCATGTGTTTGTTAGCCATCTGTATGTCTTCTTTGGAGAAGTGTCTGTTTAGTTCTTTGGCCCATTTTTGATTGCCAGCCCCATTTTTGTCTCTTCTTTCTTTGAACTTTATGTTATAGCAATATTGAACCAGTAGCAATTCTTTGCATGTACTATGTTGTCTCTTGCTCCTCTGCCTTTGGTCACATTATCCTCTTTTTGGGAGGGAATGTGTTCTCTAGAGGTCCCTCATTTTCTTTGGATAGTTGTCATTCATTCTAGAAAACTCTTGTAAGTGCAAAATGTCCTCGTCCCTCCTCTGTGCTCCCTTAATACTTTTTGAGTTCTCTGAGATCAAGGATTGTGTATTAAGATATTTAAACACACTGTAGTTACTTAAAACTTTGTTTATAAATGACTGAATTATGTAAATTTTTACTTAGACATAGTGCATGTGCCTGTTCCTTCTCACTTTCTCTGTTCTGTTTCCTTGATCATTGGTGACGGTAATCTTTTGTCTTGTTAAGATACTCAGATTCTACCATAACTTACCCTTTTAGTTTACTTAGCTCTCGGACATAGTGAATCATTATTTTTTCATTTAATACTTAAAATAGGCAACATTCAACATTTAAATGTTATCATCCCTCCTCTTCTTCATCTGGGTTTTTCCTTATGTGTCATTCATTTTTTTGAAGAGGGTAGTATTTTTTTTGCCCTACCATATTTGGCTAACATTATGGGAAATGAAATAATAGAACTTTCTGAATTTTCACCAGTTGTTACTGTTGTTTAGTTGCTAAGTGGTGACTGACTTTTTAAGACCCCATGGACTATAGCCCACCAGGCTCCTCTGTCTATGGGATTTCCCAGGCAAGAATACTGGAGTGAGCTGCAATTTCCTTCTCCAGGGGATCTTCCAACCCAGGGAACATACCCGCACCTCCTACATTAGCAGGTGGATTCTTTACCACTGAGCTACCAGGGAAGACACCAGAGAAGCTATTGTTTAATCACTGAGTCATGTCCAACACTTTGTGACCCCCATGGACTGTAGCCTGCCAGACTTCTCTGTCTGTGGGCTTTCCCAGGCAAGAATACTGAAGTGGGTTGCCATTTCTTTCTCCCACCAGGGAAGTAGGCATGTCAGTTCTCCGTGAGGAAAATTCATTCATAATGATCAAAGAAGGTACCACCACTGTGTCTTTGAAACTCAAAGGCAAAATGCCATGGAGATAAAAGAGGAAACATATAAATTTAGTCAATTTTAAATTATGACTGTGGTTATAGGATGTGAGTCCTGCTACCTGTTCCCTGTTGACAGTGATACTGTCGTTTCTCCTCATTTAGAATTCTGAGTTGCTCACTTGTCCTCAAAACACAACTTTTAACTTTTTATTTTATGTACCTTTCATGGCTAGTATGTGCCTTTTGATGTTTATTGACTTAAAATATTTGTTTTCTATTATTGTTCATTCTAGGTAAAATATCGTCTGCGTTTCCGTTCTAAAAAAAAGGCTCCATGGTTTACAGAACTTCTCTTTCCAGTAAATCCCTCTTTAGGACCCAGGAACCCAAACTCCCCACAAGGGGGAAATCCTGGTGAGCATATCCTTAAGCACACTTAATTATTATTTTGGTTGTCCAATCTGGCAATCATTTAACATTTTTTTTCAACATGTGAGAAATGTGTTTCTTTGTGAATTCTGATGGTAAGTTTTTTAAATTTAGTTTTTATGATAAAACAAACATATAAAAAAACCTTATGTTTGGAAAACTCAACAGTGGCCATAGGACTGGAAAAGGTCAGTTTTCATTCCAATCCCAAACAAAGGCAATGCCAAAGAATGCTCAAACTCCCACACAATTGCACTCATGTCACACACTAGTAAAATAATGCTTAAAATTCTCCAAGCTAGGCTTCAACAGTATGTGAACTGTGAACTTCCCGAAATTCAAGCTGAATTTAGAAAAGGTAGAGGAACCAGAGGTCAAATTGCCAATATCCGTTGGATCATTGAAAAAGCAAGAGAGTTCCAGAAAAACATCTACTTTTACTTTATTGACTATGCCAAAGCCTTCGACTGTGTGGATCACAATAAACTGTGGAAAATTCTGAAAGAGATGGGAATACCAGACCACCTGAACTGCCTCTTGAGAAATGTGTATGCAGGTCAGGAAGCAACAGTTAGAACTGGNGTCAAAGAATTGATGCTTTTGAACTGTAATGTTGGAGAAGATTCTTGAGAGTTCCTTGGACTGCAAGGAGATCCAACCAGTCCATCCTAAAGGAGATTAGTCCTGAATATTCATTGGAAAAACTGATGCTGAAGCTTAAGCTCCAATACTTTGGCCACCTGATGGGAAGAACTGACTCATTTGAAACGACCCTGATGCTGGGAAAGATTGAAGGTGGGAAGAGAAGGGGAGGACAGAGGATGAGATGGTTGGATGGCATCACCAACTCAATGGACATGAGTTTGAGTGAACTCCAGGAGCTGGGGATGGACAGGAAGGCCTGGCATGCTGCAGTCCATGGGGTCGCAAAGAGTCGGACATGACTGAGCAACCTAACTGAACTGATACACTTGAAAAGTATCTTTGTATCACCTTTGATAATTTCCTGAACTTTTATCAATGTATATCTATGCATTTATTTAGTCTTTTTTGGTAAATTTTGGCTCTGCTGACATAGACATGTTTTCATTTACTAACACTATTTGCATGCTTATGGTTCCTGTATTATTTTGGGACAGTTATTTTGATGAATGATGTTTCATTATGCAATGGTAGTTTTAAATTGTTTTTAAATTACATAGGTTAACTTTAGGAATAAAAAACAATAGAAAGTGAAAGTGAAGTCATTCAGTAGTGTCCGACTCTTTGTGACCCCATGGACTGTAGCCTACCAGGCTCCTCATTCCATGGAATTTTCCAGGCAAGAGTACTGGAGTGGGTAGCCATTTCCTCCTCCAGGGGATCTTCCCAACCCAGGGATCGAACCTGGGTCTCCTGCACTGCAGGCAGATGCTTTACCATCTGAGCCACCAGGGAAGCCCCCACCTCCCAAAAAACAAACAAACAAACAATAGAGGACTTGAATTAACTAACAATCCTGAGAATTTGTCTTTACTAAATTATTCAGCAGAAGACAAAAGCTATGTGTAGTTTATTATTATCAAGAACATGATGATCTATCAGTTTGACAGACTACTGTGTGGTGATGAAAATTAATCATTATCAAAACTGATAAACACAGAGCCATATGGATAGAATTATGAAAATGTATAATGGTCTGTATAAAAATTAGAATGGCAGTCTGAAAATAAAAAAAAAGTAAAAGGGGGGGAATGGGGAAAGGCCTGGCAATTTTAACAAAAAACATTGTGTATTTCTCTAATCAAAAGTGGCCTTTTTTAAAATTAGTGTGCTGCATCCTAAGTATAGTTGTGAGAGTAAGTTAATTGAAAAGTGCATGATCTTAGTGGAAAAATAGTAGTTTAAAACCAAAAAGAAGCTTTGGTCCCATAAAAACATTTAAATATATGCTATTCCTCAAGGGAGACTTTCCTTAAAAAACCTGTTATAAAGAAATAAAAATTAGACAGATTTCACCTATTGAATGATACTGCATAGCAAGTTAATATTAAAAACTTGTATGAAGAGATACTGTCCTTGTAAATGACATTATAGTATAGTGACTGGGAGTCAAGTGATTTGGTGTTTCTTTCTCAGACTCTGTTAGTCAGTACCTTTATGATCTTAAACACTCTGGGCCAAGTTTCTTAAGGTGCAAAATGAGTATTTGGAGTAAGTGACCTTTTAAATCCCCTTCAACAGTAAAATTCTATGGTATTAATTATTAGGACCTGGACCAGTTAAATCAGCTAAGTGGTAGAAGAGATGATCAGAATTAGTTCAGTGAAATTTGAAAGTGATATTTACAAAAATTGTAATAAGAATACTTAAACATGAGATCCATTTTCTTAAGTGCACAACAAAGGTATATTATTGTGTAGCAGATCTCCAGAACTATGTAATCTTGCAAAACTAAAACCCTGCACCAATTAAACAACAACAACTAATTTTCCCCTCCTTCCAGCACTTGGAGACCACCATTCTATTTTCTGTTTCTATGAGTTTGACTACTCTAGATACTTCATTTAAGTGGCATCACACATTAATTGTCTTTTTGTGCATAATGTCCTCAAGATTTATCCATCTTGTAGCATATACCAGCATTTTCTTCTTTTTCAAGGCTGAATAATATTCCATTATAGGTCATTTCAGTTCAGTTGCTCAGTCGTGTCTGACTCTTTGTGACCCCATGGGCTGCAGTATGCCAGTCTTCCCCGTCCATCACCAACTCCTGGAGCTTGCTCAAACTCATGTCCAGAAAGTCAGTGATGTCATTCAACCATCTCATCCTCCATCATCTCCTCCTCCTCCTCCTGCCTTCAATCTTTCCCAACATCAGGGTCTTTCAAATGAATCAGTTCTTCCCATCAAGTGGCCAAAGTATTGGGGCTTCAGCTTCAGCATCAGTCCTTCCAGTGAATATTCAGGACTGATCTCCTTTAGGATTTTGACTGGTTAGATCTCCTTGCAGTCCCAGGGACTCTCAAGAGTCTTTTCCAATACCACTCTTATCTATTTAGTTATGTATTTATGGCTGCAGTCCATGTATTTATGCTGCAGTCCATGGGGTCACTAGGAGTCAGACACGACTNTTGTGATCCACACAGTCAAAGGCTTTGGCATAGTCAATAAAGCAGAATTAGCTATTTTTCTGGAACTCTCTTGCTTTTTCAATGATCCAACGGATGTTGGCAATTTGATCTCTGGTTCCTCTGTCTTTTCTAAATCCAGCTTGAACTTCTGGAAGTTCATAGTTCACCTACTGTTGAAGCCTGACGTGGAGAATTTTGAGCATTACTTTGTTGGCATGTGAGATGGGTGCAATTGTGCAGTAGTTTGAACATTCTTTTGCCTTTCCTTTCTTTGGGATTAGAATGAAAATTGACCTTTTCCAGGCCTGTGACCCCTGCTGAGTTTTCCAAATTTGCTGGCATATTGAGTGCAGCACTTTCACAGCATCATCTTTTAGAATTTGAAATAGCTTAACTGGAAATCCGTCACCTCCACTAGCTTTGTTTGTAGTGATGCTTCCTAAGGCCCACTTGACTTCACAAACCAGGATGTCTGACTCTAGGTAAGTGATCACACCATTGTACTTATATGGGTCAAGATCTTTTTTGTATAGTTTTCTTCTGTATACTCTTGCCACCTTTTCTTAATATCTTCTGCTTCTTTTATGTCTATACCTTTTCTGTCCTTTATTGTGCCCATCTTTGCATGAAATGTTTCCTTGGTGTCTCTAATTTTCTTGAAGAGATCTCTAGTCTTTCCCTTTCTATTGTTTTCCTGTTTCTTTGCACTGATCACTCAGGAAGGTTTTCTTATCTCTCCTTGCTATTCTTTGGAAATTTGCATTCAGATGAGTTTGTCTTTCCTTTTCTCCTTTGCCTTTCACTTCTCTTTTTTCTCAGCTACTTTTAAGGCCTCCTCAGACAACCATTTTGCCTTTTTGCATTTCTTTTTCTTTGGGATGGTATTACGCCACCACTTCCTGTACAATATCCATGCATAGTTCTTTAGGCACTCTGTCTATCAGATCTAATCCCTTGAATCTATTTGTCACTTCCACTGTATAATCATAAGGGATTTGATTTAGGTCATACCCTAATGGTCTAGTAGTTTTCCCTATGTTATTCAATTTACATCTGAATTTTGCAATAAGAATTTCATGATCTGAGCCACAGTCAGCTCCTGGTCTTGCTTTTGCTGACTCTATAGAACTTCTCCATCTGTGGCTGCAAAGAATATAATTAATCTGATTGAGGTGTTGACCATCTGGTAATGTCCATGTGTAGAGTTGTCTCTTGTGTTGTTGGAAGAGGATTTTTGCTATTATCAGTACATTCTCTTGGCAAAACTGTTAGCCTTTGCCCTGCTTCATTTTGTACTCTGAAGCCAAATTTGCCTGTTACTCCAGGTATCTCTTGACTTCCTACTTTTGCATTCCAGTCTCCTATGATGAAAAGGACATCTGTTTTTGGTGTCAGTTCTAGAAGGTTTTGTAGGTCATCATAGAACCATTCAACTTCAGCCTCTTTGGCATTGGTGTGTGTGTATACACACACACACACACACACACACACACACCACAGTTGGTTTATCTGTTCATCTATCAAAGAACATTTAGGTTGCTTTCAGCTCTTGGCTATTGTGAATAATGCTGCAATGAATATGTGTGTGCAGATATTTCGTAGAGATCCTATTTTCAACTCTTCATATATTCCAAAAAATGTGATTATTGGATTTTATGGCAATTACTTGTAATATTATGAGAAACCTCCATCCTGTTTTCCATTGCAAGTGCACCATTTTATATTTCCACCAGTAGTTCACAAGGATTTTAATTTCCTTACATCTTCACCAAAATTTGTTAGTTTCTCTGTTTTGGTAGTGGCCATCCTGGCAGGTGTGAGGTGGCATCTTGTGGCTTTGATATGCATTTCCCTGATGACTAGTGAATTTGATTATTTTTTTTCATTTGCTTTTTGTCCCCTTGTATATTTTTTTGAAGAAATGTCTGTTCAGGTCTTTCATATTTTTTAATATGGTTGTTTAATTGTTGTTTAGTTTTACAAGTTCTTTATGTATTCTGAATATTAGCCCTTTATAAATTTTATGGTTTATAAATATTTTCTCCCATTTCATTGGTTGTCTTTTCATTCTGTTGATTGTTTCCTTTGCTGTGGAAACATTTTTAAGTGTGATGTAATCTACTTTGTTTATTTTTGCTTGTCCCATGTGCTTTTGATGTCATGTCTGAGAAATCATCACCAAATCCAACGTCATGAATGATTTGACCTTTGTTTTCTTCTAAGAGTTTTACAATGTCAGGTCTTGTGGTTAGATATTCAATCCATTTTCATTTTATTTTTGATTATGGTATAAGGTAAGGATCCAAATTCATTCTTTTGCATGTGGACTTCCAGTTTATCCAATACCGTTTCTTTTGAAGAGACTATATTTTTTTGCCCAATACCCTTAGCAAAGATCATTTGACCATATATGAGAGTTTATTTCTGGATCATCTGTTGTTTTCCATTTTTCCCTATGTCTGTCTTCATGCCAGTACCATAGTCTTTTGATTACTGTAACTTCCTAATATATTTTAAAATCAGGACATGTGAGTCTTCCAGCTTAGAATAACAAGTGTTTTTCTTGCTCAGGATTATTTTGGCTATTCAGAATCTTTTGCAATTTCATATGGATTTTAGGATTTTTGTCTATTTCTACAAAAAATGCATTTGGGGTTTTGATAGAGATTATATTGAATCTGTAGATAACTTTTGATTAGTATGAATATTGCTTTCCAGTTCATGAGCACAGAATGTCTTTTAATTATTTGTATCTTTTTTATTAATTTCAGGAATGCTTTGTAGTTTTCAGTGTACAAGTAATTTACCTCTTTGGTTAAGTTTCTTCCTGTGTATTTTTTTCTTTTCAATGCTATTGTAAATGGAATTATGACATATCTTTTTTTTTTCATTTATTTTTATTAGTTGGAGGCTAATTACTTTACATTATTACAGTAGTTTTTGTTATACATTGAAATGAATTAGCCATGGATTTACATGTATTCCCCATCCCAGTCCCCCCTCCCACCTCCCTCTCCACCCGATCCCTCTGGGTCTTCCCAGTGCACCTTTATGACATATCTTGTTTTAAGTTTCATTTCTATGCATGTGTCCGGTATAGAAAAGTATATCTGGTATTTCCTTGAATTCTCATTTCTTTTGACTGATAATATTTCATAAACCAACTATAACATTTGGATGCAAGTATTTTAGTTTGGGGAAGGTGGTAATGCAATTCCATGCTATTTATTATCTCTTTATATTCCAAACTATTAAAAGTTTTGTGAATTTGCTTTGTTTTATGAGTTTAAAAGTTAGAATTACCTCAATTGCCTTCTGTGTTCGCCTTGCTGTTTCCTAATATACTGAACTTGGCAATCTTTGTCTTTTCACTTAGCCTACTACAAAGACGGATTCCTGCTTGTGCAGCATGCCTTGGATAAAGCCATCATTGTGCACCATAATGGCAGAGCTGCGGAAATGCTATTTGAAAATGTCACCATTTTTGTTGCCAGATTTCCATACCCTGCTTATTATAATGATGATTTTTTTCTCTTTTTTTTATCTCTCTTCCCTTTACAAGTTTTACTTATATTTTCTCTAACTGAACTTACTCTTATCAGAACCATTGTTATGGAAAAGGAAACCAGATTGAAGGTAAATTCACTTTCTTTGTTTCATTTTGGGCTTGTGGAACAGACTTATGCACAGAATTGGACTATGTCTATACATTTGTTACTAGTGAATGATTATAACACAATAGCAATATACAAATATAGATTGGGCATAGAATATATATACTATGTCATTTGTCAATTTGCTGGTGTTTTTCTTTAATCTAAATTCTTGATCTGGCTTGTAATTTTATTGACTATTTGATAAAAATGCTGTGAAGAGAAGTCATATATTAAATATCTTGAATCTTCTTTGGAATAAAATGAACAAAAAGAAATAATCATATAAGCTTATAAATTATATGACCCTAATATATACTTCAATTCCAAGATTTGAGAGTCCTTTTAATATCAAGTCAAATCAAGATCATATTATAAAGAGCAGTGGCTCTAAGGTCAGAGAGAAAGCCATTAGTTTATCCATCTATCCATTAATTTGTGACTCTGTACTGTAGCCCACCATGCAGCTCTGTCCATGGGATTCTCCAGGCAAGTATACTGGAGTGGGTTGTCATGTATCACCCTCTAAATCACCCAGGCTTGAAACCTAAGTCTTATCAGTATAGTATAATATGTAGCACCTGAGTACTGCCATTTCCTACCCCTATAACTTTGGGGTAACTTTCTTAACTTCTCTGAGCCTCATTTGCAAAATGGAGGTAAAAATACTCTTACTACATAGAGTTGTGTGATAATTAAAGAGATCTTAATTGTTAGTACATAGGAAATATTATGTAGCTATCAACACTTAGCTATCTTTCCATTCCCTTTGTTCCCTATGTGCAGCACATGTCAGCCGGCATACATTCTGTTCCTTTCTCTCCATGTTTGGAAATGTCATTTTCTCTTTCAAGCTCTTGTTAATTTTTCATCATCTAGCCATTTCTCTGACTACCACATATTTTTCTCTTTTCCTACTTAGTGAATAATCTCCTTGAAATCTATTTTCAACTTTAAACTTCAGCTTACTAATTTTCTCTCTGTCTCTCCAGGACCTATTACACAAATGTTGATCATGTAGTTTAAATTATTTGTTATTTAATTTTTCATTAAAAAACTTGAATTAAAATAAATACATACCAATGTGTACAGATGTTTGAAACATGAATACCCAACTACTGTTCCAGCCAAGAAATAGAATATTGCCTGTAGTCTGGGCACTCCTTGGCATCCCATCTAAATAACTACATCTCTCTTCTCTAAAAATAGTTACTATTTAAATTCTAAAATCATATATGAGTGTTGCCTGGTTTAAAAACTTTATTTAAATAGAATCATACAGTAGCAATTCTTTTGTTTCAGTGGGAGCTGTTGATATTTTCTGTATAGGTGCAATTTGGCCATTTTCATTGTTGTTTCATTTCATTGTTGTTTCACTTCATTTAATTTATGACTATACCACAATTTGTCACTATTGCTGATGAATATTTAGTTGTTCAAGTATTGGCCAATTATAGTAAGTCAATGTGAATATTTTTTTTTAAATGAAGCTGTAGGTTTATTCAATAACAGTTGAGAGGCCCCCTATATAATGTTAAATGAAAAAAAGCATATCCTGAAATGATGCAGAAATCATCCCATTTTTGCAAAAAGCATGTGTATCAGAGGGAAAAAAAACAGATATATGATAATATAGTAGCAATAGTGAAATAGTGAAATATTCCCTTTTACCCTTTTTTAATTTTAAATTTATTTATTTTTTATTGAAGGATGTATTTTGGTGAAGATGTACACATTTTTCTGTTGGATATACACCTAAGATTAAAATTGGTAGAGTATAAAGTATACATATTTTCAACCTTGTTAAATAAAGTGAAATTTTTTTCTAAAGTTTGTGCCAATTCATTCTCTTATCAATAGTTGAAGAGAGTTCCTCTTGTTCCATAAGTATGCCAACAACTGGTGGTATTAGCCTTTTAAACTTTCAATCATTCTGGAAATAGTGGTAAACTCATTGTGGTTTTAATTTAATTTTCTTTGTCAACCAATGTTGTTGAACCCCTTTTCACATCCTTTTTGGCTACATGGATACTCTCCTTTGTGAGGTGTGTATTCAAAAGTCTTTTCCCCACTTTTCTGTTGGGTTGTGTGTCTTGTCTCATTGATTTTCATTGATTCTTTATATATTTTGGATACAAGTTCTTTGTGTGATGTATGTATTGCAAGTATGTTCTCCCAACCTGTAACTTGCTTTAATGTGTCTTTGACTTGTAAATGTTCTGAATTTCAATGTAATAAAGTCTTTTCCTTTATGATTCCTGCTTTCTGTGGCCAGTCTTTGCTGGCTGAGTTTCCCCACATTTTCTTCCTTATTGTTCTTTAGACCTTCTTTTTTCCTAATCTTTGCATATAAGCCTCTGAATTTAAGTCAAATCAACTTTTGCTATGACCTGTAAGTTGAAATACAATGTTTTCTTTATCATATATTTCATAATAGTTTCTAATTTTTTTGCTAATTTTTTCTTTGACCCATAGGACATTTATAAAATTTCAAAGACCATTATAAATATAAAACAGTGTTACAAGTTTTTTTTTTTTAAGGATCAAAAGTTAGCAGTTCGTTAAGATCCTGACATATCTTCATAATAGCAATAGAAGTCATCACTACTAGTTGATGTGGTTGAAATAAAGAAATGTTCACAGATATCAGTGAAAGCTATAGGTAATCTTTCCCTAAAGAGGACATACAATTAACATACATCCACATTTACTAAATCATTAACCTCTGTTTTGGAAGCCAGAGAAAATACAATTCTCAGACCATTATATGAGAAGGATGAAAATGTTTCTTGAATGTTTGTAATCTGTATTTGATCAAGGATCATTCAGCAGATTCTGAAGCTCACAACTGTGAACTTAATAGAACAGAATGATTTTTAATGTGTTTAAAAAACACAACAACATACTAGGTGCCAGTCTTTTATTTCAGTTTTTTAAAATTTTGTTGAAACATGCTTTATGGACTAGAATATAGCCAATTTTCTGTTCTGTTATCACATGTGCACTGAAAAACAATGTGTACTGAGCATTAAAAGGGTGCAGTTTTCTGTACATGTTACATCAGTTTTGTTATTTACATTGTTCATGTTCATGTTTTATCTATTAGTTGTTATCAGTTATTGTGAGGAGTATACTACATATCTACCTTTATGTTTATTGATTTTTTAAAATATTTATTTATTTTGAATTGATGATTGGTTTATGATATTGGCTTGTTTTCTGTCTTACATCGACATAAATTAACCATAGCTGTACATATGTCCCCTCCCTCTTGAATCTCCCTCCTACCTCCCACCCATTCCCACCCCTCTAAGTTGAGTTGTCTAATTTTTCCTTTTAATTGTCAGTTTTAGCTTTATACATGTTGATGTTACGTGTAGGGGACCCAGTACATGGGATCTGCTTATTTTTACCTGTTTTCATGACTTGACTTAGTTCTTCATGGAGAGCCTGTCCACCATTGCTATCACCTTGTCTTCTATGAATAACATTGCTAGTTGTTTTAAACTCCCTTCTAAGGAACAGGGTTTGGAATGGCAAATATTATTCCTGCATTGGGAGCTAGTTCTATTCATTTCTGGGCTCAAAGAAAGAGCTTGTGTCATGGAGTGAGGGATCTTTCATCCACAGTGGCTTCATGGTCACCCAACTCAGAAACTCAGGGAAGTTGTCAACCAGCCTACTGAACTTTGACCATGGAGTGAAGAGATAGTAAAGAGTTGATATAAATCTCTTTGTCTTTCTCCCTGCAGTGGACTATCTTAAGGCTTGATGCTTCCATTTGACTTAATGGAATAATAGCATTTGAATACATTTCTTTTTGTCAGCCTGTGGCCAGTATGCTAAACACATTACATTCAATTTGTTTCCTCTCCTTCACATCTTAATTCTCTCATTCTTGCTATTCTATGAATGAACCTCCTGATAAAGTCTTAACATGTAAGCTTTGCTTAGGCTGTATTTTTCAGTCCTTCCAGGCTGAAGTACTTTTTTGTTAGGTGTGTGTGGATTTCCAATGGTTATCTCTTCCAACTTGTTTAAAAATTTTGTTGTTGTTTAGTTGCTCAATTGTGTCTGACTCTTTGTGACCCAATAGACTGCAATATGCCAGGCTTCCCTGTCCTTCATCATCTCCCAGAGTTTGCTCAAATACATAGCCATTGAATCAGTGATGCCATCCAACCATCTTGTCCTCTGTCATCCACTTCTCCTTATGCCTTCAATTTCTCCCAGCATCAGGGTCTTTTCCAATGAGTCAGTTTTTCCCATCAGGTGGCCAGAGCATTGGAGCTTCAGCTCCAGAATTAGTCCTTTCAGTGAATATTCACAGCTGCTTTCCTTTAGGATTGACTGGTTCGATCTTACTGTGCAAGGAACTCTGAAGTGTCTTTTCCAACACCACAGTTCAAAAGCATCAATTTTTTGGCCCTAAGCCTTTTTTATTGTCCAGCTCTCACATCTGTACATGTGAAAAACTATGTATGAAACTATGTACATGTATGAAAAACTATGAAAAAGCTATGGAAAAACCATAGCTTTGACTATACACAACTTGGTCAGCAGAGTAATGTCTCAGTTTTAAATATGCTGTCCAGGTTTGTCATAGCTTTTTTTTTTCCCAAGGAGCAAGTGCCTTTTAATTTTATGGCTGCAGGCACTGTCCACAGTGATTTTGGAGCCCAAGAGAAAAATGTCTGTCACTGTTCCATTGTTTCCCCATCTATTTGCTATGAAGTGATGGGACAGGATGTCATGATCTTCATTTTAAATGTTGAGTTTTAAGCAAGCTCTTTCACTCTCTTCTTTCACTTTCATCATAAGGCTCTTTATTCCCTCTTTGCTTTCTGCCATAAGGGTGGTGTCATCTGCATATCTGAAGTTATTGATATTTCTCCCCACAATCTTGATTCCAGCTTGTGCTTCGTCCAGCCTGCCTATTCTCATGATGTACTCTGCATATAAGTTAAATAAGCTGGCTGACAA